GGAACAGCACTCTGCTTTCCATTTAAAAGTCACTGGGACCATTTTTTACCTGTCTGCTTGGAAACCCAAAACTGTATTCTCACACATAAATTGTATTCTCTCTGGCAGGTTGTCCAAAGAAGTTTCTCTGAAGGCTTGATCAGAGTAGTTGAAGAGTCTTAAGAGACCCTGACCACTGAGAGCAAAGGTGTTTCTTTAGCGCTTGTTCACAGCTCCCCAGCTGTTCTAATCAGGCCCTTTGTTCTTCTGTTTTCTTCTAGCAGGAACCGTATTGATGGCTCACTGACCACCTCTCCCCATGATCCTCCTTTCATTTTAACTACAAAATATCTGCTTTAAAAGAGGATTGTCATGGAAGAAATACAATGGTCAAAATCATCTTTGGATGTAGTAGAGAATTGGGAGACTTCTGGGTTCTCACCTCTTTTCCGGCCTTACTAGCTTTGAGCTTTAGGCAGTTCACTTTACTTCTTTAAGGCTTGATTTCCTCTTCATCAGGAGAGGAGAATAAGTCCTGCTCTCCAAAAGAATGTGACTGTAAGGGAGCTTGATAAACTGTGGAGAGCAGTGCCCCATGACAGATGATTTCCTTAAGCAATGGTGGGCTGCCAGCCTCACCAGTCAATTCTGTGTGAGTACCAAAGGTACTGTGATCTAATGGGTGGTGTGGCTCCTTTCTTCTCATAGTGCTAAAATAAAAAATATCATTTCCACGGAGGATGCCAAGGCCCGTCTGCTGGCAGAGCAGCAGAACAAGAAGAAAGATAGTGAGACATCCTTTGTGCCTACCAACATGGCTGTGAATTATGTACAGCACAACAGATGTAAGCATCTCTGGGAAAGCAAGTCTTCCCTGGCCCCCCACCTCATTGGGTTGAGGTCCCCAGCAACTCCATATTCTGTCTGATGTGTTGCCTATCTCTTTTGGTCCAGTTTATCATGAGGAGCTCAATGCCCCCATACGGAGAAACAGAGAAGAGCCCAAAGCCCGGCCCTTAAGAGTGGGTGACACAGAGAAGCCAGAACCTGAGCGTGAGTACAGCAGAGGCCTCTGGGCTGCCCCAAGCAGTCAGTGCTCAGGGGCCAGTGGAGGCAGGATGGGGTCTGTCAGGGGCGGAGCTTGGGCTTTGGGGCCGGGGCCACACACCGGACCATGACATGTGCCTTCCCCTCTCCAAGCCTCAGTTTCCTCATCTATAAAATGGGTATAGTAATAGAACCTACCTCTCAGGGTTCACTGGGCTGTCAAGCATAGTAGAGACTCTAGAATTAGAAACTTTATAATAAGCAAAACTAGAAGTTATTTACAAGTAACAGGTATTTACCGAGGTCTTTGTATGTTCTTGTGCACAGGGTTAGGCGCTGGGGCTCCAGTGGGGAATGAGACAGGCTTGGTCCTTGCCTGTGTGGAGTAGTCTGGTGGTGGGTTCGGCATGGCAAAGAGCCTTTCCTGGTCTTTTCCTTCTCAGGGTCCCCTCCTAACCGCAAACGTCCTGCTAACGAGAAGGCCACTGATGACTACCACTATGAGAAGTTCAAGAAGATGAACAGGCGGTACTGATGTGTGCACAGTGTGATGTAAATAGTACCTTCCCTACCCTCCCTCCCATGAGAAAAGGCTTCCTGGAGAGAAGCCTGCTCATTTGCTAGCAGACAGTTCCAAAAACAGACTAACATTTTGAAACAAAACAATGTGCAGTTTTCCTACTTGGAGATGAACTCTGTTCCTGTGAGCATTATTAAAACTTGTTTGTAGGGCCGGCCCGGTGGTGCACTGCTACAGTGCGCCACTTGGGAGTGCGGCGGCGCTCCCG